TGTTGAATGAAGTTTGGAATATACAAACTATTCGTTCAATAAATCATATTCTAACTTGTATTAACTTTTAGTCTGATAAAAGCCTTAATTCTAAGAAATTTTTATTTCGAATATCAATTAGCATATCACAAATATAAAGATAGTGAAAACTTTAGTCAGGAAAAGTTCTATTAGTGACTGCAACTTTTACTTTATATTTATATTTGCTTCACTTTATAGAGTGTGTTCTTTATAAATATTTCTGAGCTGAGCTGAGCATACACTTTTACAACTTTCAGGCTCTACAGGGTATGCCAACAGCTGCTGGCTAGAGCAGTGACAATGCCAACTAAAAAACAATTTAAAAAACAATTTTGTTTTTGGCCGAGGCTTATCTCTGGGGAGGTGCTTCCGCATTTGCAACGCATTCTCATTCTCATTCTCATTCTTGTACTTGTACTCGTGCTCAGCAGCGGTCACCAAAGTTCACGCTGCAAGAGCAACGCACAAATGTTTGAAGTGTGGCCGTTGCGACGCCCCAAAGGCAGAAGCCCACTGCTGCCCGGGCCAACAGCCCCCCCTCAGGGGCCCCCGGCTAAAGATAGATGCAGGCGCAAGCTGCAGACACACACATGCATAATGCATGCAACAACTCTGCTGCTGCTGCTGCTGCCGCATGTTGGGCCCTGTGTGTCGCTAGTTTATGGCCGTTGCATCCATGAGATACACGTACTTTGAGGGCTTCTGTCGCGTCGTCGCCTTTTATTGCGCTCTACAACTAATGTGCATAACAAAATATAATACTTCCCCCATGGCTTTGTTGTTATGAGTGTTGTTGCTTTCTTTAACAGCTATTTATTTTTAAGCGCAATGCGCTTAAAGCTAATTAAATTTTCAACCACTATCTGCCTTATCGATTGCACTTTTCTTTACGAGCCGTGCGTCGCGGCGAAAGTGGGTTCTTTGCTTTGGCTAATGTCGTCGTGCGTTGGGCTTAATCACTATGAAATGCTGATTGCAGCAGCCGTGCGCCAACTGCCAACTTCCATCTGCCATCTGCCACCTGCCCCTCGCGTTGCATAATGAGAAAACATAAAAAAGAAGAGAGAAGAACAGGACGTTAAGAACAAACGCTTTAAAAACTCATTAATGCTAAATTTGCGGCACACTCCGCCGGCTGCTGTCTTAATTATATGACTTGCAAATTTATGGCCCTCAAGTTTCTGGACTTTATGTACATGTTTATGGGTGTGTATAAATGTGTTTACATATTTGTATATATACAAATATTCCATTCATGACACATTCGAAACTGTCTTTTGCATATCCACTCAGCTTTATCGAGATCTTATCAGATATCTTTACTAGAGTTATATCTGTGCTCAGTTTCTAATATTCCTTTCACGATTTCTTTATTGAATGCTTTGCTCTTCGAGCCACACATGCCTAAGCTCCTTCAAAGTTATACGATTTCTAACTTGGGCACGTCTTAAATGCACATTCAAATCTTCTGAAGGTCAGAGCTTTAAATCTTTTTGCTAGAATCAACAAAAAATTGCACTTTGTATTTGCTTTAAATGAAAAAATAATATTACGAAATTTGCATTTGATTTCACTTGATTAAAACTTAATCTATAAACAAGATCGAAAGTTTATTTATATTTATTATACACTGATGTGAAATAATAGCTTGTATAATAGTTTCATTATATATTCATTTTATAGCTATAATTATTTATTATAAACTAAGCTAAGGCAATAATTATTATTGATCGTTTGTTTGTAAATTTTATTAGCAAAGATTAGTAATTAGAAAACTTTTTTTTCATAAAAAAAAGCTACTTGAATATTTAGTATTTGTTTTATTCTTATTTAGTATTTGAATATTTAGTATTATTTGTACATATTATAAATTTAGCTATTTTTCTTCATGTTAGTCTCGTGTTGAGCAACACCTTTTTGTATCTTGTATCTTCTGGGGCATTTGCATTCACATTTGCTCGACGCCATCCGCTGCTCAAGGTCAGGCAAAATGTTAATGCTAATTAGGTAAAATTGTAAACAAAACCAGTTGCCAGTGTTTTGTTAATTACAAAATGATGCATGGCGATGCCTCGATGACATTGAAGTGAGTATTTTATGAGTAGTTGCTGAGTACCTCATGAGTAGCTGATGAGTAGTGGCTGTTGCTGCTACTGCTGCTGCTGCTACTGTGTGTGGGCTGGGTCGCCTGAAGCTGCAGTTGCACACATACATATTACCCATACGCCGTGTGGTCGCAAAGTTCAGCCTGAAGTTTGCAATTGGATCACTGTGGCAGAGCTTTTGTGCCATTTTTTTTTAAGTTTACGTTCTTAGTCATAACTCGCAGAGCGCTGCGAAGCCACAGAAACTCTGCCTCTGTTTGCCTTCCGCAAACAGATTTTGAACTCGACTGCACTGCGAGAAATTCTATTAGCACTTGGCTCTTTGTGGGCAGGCGTGTAATGCGGAAATGGGCATATATCGGCGGCTATATATAAACATCGCTTATATTTGTATATTTCGATATACATATATATATATTTGCATATTGTGGGGGCGTGTAAACTGTGCCAGTTGCTTGATTGGAATTGCAGCTGGTTCTCTAGCAAAATCAGCTGCACTTGTCGCCTTAGGGCTTCAATTCAATTAATTGCCAATTAGCATATATGCAAGTGTGTGTGCTTGTGCTTGTGTGTGTGTGTGGGTGTTTGTAACAATAGAAATTGTGCTAATGCATGTGGATGACGCTAATGAGGCTAATCAAACTAGTCAACTCAGCAAAAGTTAGTTTAAGCTGCAGTTCGAACTACTGAAATACCCTGTCATTTATTTGGCCAAGATACTATGACTTAATTATTCCATTTAAATCTTATTCATATGTATCAAAAGATATCTTATCAATATTCAAATATAATTCGTTTTAATATGCTTAACATTAAACTTTTTGTGGAAGCCTTGCGAGGCTTTCACTCGTTGGGTGCTCTGGATTTCTCATAGCTCCCGCTTGGGGTAGTTTGCCTTTGCCTTGTCGGGATTACGGGCCGTGTGACAGGCTGATGCAGTTGACCAGTTAGCCAGTTGGCAGCAGCTGCAGCCACAGCAGCCTCAGTTCACAGCTATCAGATGGCTAAAGATGCAGCCGCAGACGGAATAGCGAGCCACCGCAGATCTCCCCCCAGCTCGGGCAGATCTTGGCTGGCGTCTAGCGTATTAGCAGCCCACTTTAGAGTGGGAGTTGGCATTTGGGCAAAGAGTGCGAGAGGGGGTGGTTGGGGGTACGCTGCATTGGCGGCTTTGAGCGGATTTGTTTAAAGCCGCAGCGATGCAGAAAGTTGTGCTGCTTTTCTTTTTATATATTTATATATATGTATATGTATGTATATATTTATATATTTTTTTTGCGAGCGCGTTTGCTGCTGCGAGATATTATGCGGCGATATTAATTGACAAATGAGATTTTTCCTTCCTACTCGACAGCGACAGGGGAACTTTCATTTTGACCACAAGCGTCTCGTTGTCAGCCCGGCTCAAGCTCAAACTCCAACTCCAGCTTAAGCTCAAGCCGCAGCTGAGTTTTACAAATGCAGGCCAAGGCAATATGCATACGTGGCTGGCCAATGTGCTTGGAGCCGGGTCTCCGATGGCTGCTGTTTGGGTTAACGCCAACTGTCTGGCGCTATCAAACGCGCCGCGAACTCTTGTCACGTTACTTAATGCCATAAATGCGGTTGGCTAGGTTAACATACGCCTTCAGCTGCTGCTGCTGCACCACTGCACCAAAAACCACCCACTCCCCTACGCCCAGACCCGACCACAGACCACAGTCAGTCACGCAGTCTTCTTGACGGGCCGCTGAACTGCTAAATGTCAGGCCACGATAGCAGCCGGCAGATTGATGAACGCTGTCATGGCACATATATGTAGCCATAGGCGAAATGCGAACGAAGAATGTGAAATGCAAAAGATATCGATAGGCGATCGACGGATGGCTTTCATTATGTTTACATTGTGATACTCTTTGATTATAGTGGAATGTTCTAGTATATAAGTGGTAGATACTATATAGTTATAATCTATAAATAGCTAGTATTTTAATAAACTAAAAGTATAATACAGTCTTTTTGAGCTACATACTTTCTTAGTTATTGGATTAGATGAGACCAGCAATTCAGCAGAGTATATTTAAAATACTATTTATAGATGATAATTTTATTTATATATGAAACTGGAATTTTCTAATAATAGAATGCATATTAGAAAATTCTAGTTTCAGAGGTAAATAAAATCTATAAATGGTATTTTAAATATACTAAAATTATCTTAAGCTGCTCCGAGCTATATTCTCCTAGGCATTCCATTAGATGGTACCAGTAAGTATCATAAGCAATAGACCCGTTGTCTAAAAGTTTATCCCTATATTTGCTTTTCAGCTAAACAAATTGGTTAATGGGTCTCAGACTTTATTAATGTCTGCATTGGGCGCCATACTTCACAGGGAAGTCATAGCTCTCTAGTCACTCTATAGTCCCCAAGATTCTACGTCAATGACAGGCAAATTGCGAACCTTTCTATGGGCTTGTGGGTGTGCCCCGGTATGGACACTCGCCGTCAGTTTTAGTTGCTGTGCGGCGCTGTCAATCAATGTCAGTTCTATAAAGACAACAACAGCAACAGCAACAACAGCAACAGCAGCAACAGCAACAGCAACAGCAGCAGCGGCAGCAGCGGCAACAGCAATTGGCAGTCAGTCAATCATGCAGTCAGTCAGTCGCTCAGTCAGTCAGCCAAGATCGTGGCTTACGTTTTATATATTGGTTTGCCTTGGCTTTTTGAAAGTTGCAGCGCAGAGCTGTGGCTGTGGCTGTGGCTGTGGCTGTGGCTGTGGCGCGTTGGTGGCCACGTCAAGAACTTGTACATGTTGCATATTAATATTGTTTGTGGCAAGGCGCTTGACTAATTTCCTACGTTTGTTTGCTTCTCTACTCCCCCACGTTTAGTACGGACTGCGTCAACTGGATCTCTCACTGCTGTCACAATTGTGGGCGCTAAACGATTCCATACAGGAGTTTCGCACGATGATCGAGGAGCAGGAGGGCGAGGACGACGACGACGACGAGGAGGAGGATGCGGATGCGGATGAGGATGTTGAGCTGGATGAGCAGGGCAATCGCAGGCATTCGCCGACGCCCTCTTCGTACGATTCGGTTAGCTCGGAAGGCGGCGCCGATGCGGATCTTGTCAAGGCGAAGCGTCTGGGCACCATACCAAAGGTCATTACGACGCAGCCAAAGCAGCTCCAGCCGAAGGGTGATCTGAAGCCCTTGCCACGAATGCGCAGCGCACCGCCGCCACCACCGCCGGTGGCGCTGATGTGCACCGCGCGCAAGGCGGCGGCACCGCCACGGCCCACATGATGTTACCTAACCGACTTCCTAGCCGGAGTCAGGATGGTCATGTGCAAGGCGATAGTGAGCGATGTGCCGACCCCACCAACAGCGACGGCGACGGCGACGTCCGCTGCATTGGGTAGCACTTGAGCTGGTTGAGCCGAAGCTGGAGCAGCACTTGGCAAGGGCATTTGGAAGTCGGCTAACGAACATTGTTAACATGCACCATCCCTAGTTAGTTTACACAAACGACAAGCGATATACGATCAACGATAAACGTTCATCGATAGATCGATAGGGGATAACATTTATGCATATATACATATATCTCTATATAGTCCTAAGACGCATAGCCTTTAAGTTTAGCAGTCCTTTGTGTGATCTTCAGTTGTAAGTTTTATTGTACATTGCGTGTTTTTATTTGTATTTCAGTTTACTTTTGATTTTCGTTTGTTGGCCCAGGCTCTGCGACATAATTTAGGGCTACTTATTTGGGGTTTACTTAACTGGGGCTCAGCTAAAACCTATTTAACACCTGCAACTTGATTGTCTTGAAAAATAAAATCTATATATTTTTTGTCTTACGATTGAAACTAACTTGATGCAGAACCTCAATTTAACTTCATATATATGTCATAAGAACGATGAGCAGAAAAGTGCTTTAGACTTAAGTTAGGAACTGCACCACTTGTATATGTATATAGCCTCTCACTAAAACGAATCCTGCGCTAAACAAATATTTGGCTTTTTTCATCCTGCTGCTGCAATTTTAAGCAAAAATAAAGAATATCAAAACGAAGTTTGCAAGCCTCTCGGCATTTATTTAACGTCTGTGCCCTAGGCAAGACTCAAGCCATCCATGCCCAGTTTGAGGCATGGGAAATCAAAGGCCAGCAGTTGGTTATCTGAGAAGCTGCTGTAGAAACTGGGGCACATGTTGATGTTTGTTAGGCCCGACAGCTTCGTGCTCATCTTCAGGCAAATGGCCATCGGCGTTAGGTCCGACACTACGGGCAGACAGAAAGTGGGCGTGGTCTTGGAGTCCAGCGTAAACTTGGACACTTGCTCATTATCCAGCGTAACAGTCACATCAACAGAGGCTCTGAGTATGTTTATTTTGAATGACATGCAAACTGTGAGCAACAAGTTTTCAAAATTACAAATATGGAAATTGATTTACTGGCCCCAACATACGTGTCTTATTTAGATCCATGACCTTAAAAACTGCGCCCACACAGCACTTGCAGGTCATGGTCAGCGAGCACTCGCATTGCGATGGAAAGGCGATGAGCTCCTGATCGTCACCATCGGCGGCCTGCACCAAGGCTGAGCTGTTCAGGCCCAGCCAGATGACCAGCATGACAGCAAGGAGAGGCCAGAGCCTGTCTGGAATGGACTTTGATTTGAACATTACTCTAATTTAAATTTGAATTGGGAAAACTGGATAAAGCTGCCGCGATGGGAGTCACAAAACTGATGCGAATATCGAGCAAGTATTTACTTTTTGTACATGCGAAAATCAAGTGCGTCGAAGTTAATTGAAAGTCATTTAAGTTTTTGGTAATTAAATATAATTAATAAAACGGTTCATTTAATTCCCATAGTCGTCGTTCGGGTTCAAGGGTAATCTAGCGAATTTTCTCAATTTAAGAAAAGCCTAAAAGTAGGCAACAGTTGGTGAAGCAAAGTTTAGCTTATGCTATGGAATATCACTAAAGTATGCCATACTGCGCATTACTTTTTATTGAACTGAAGAATATAGTACTACATACTTTTGGTAAGTATTTAATAAAATTTATATACTTCTATAATTTGAGAGATAGCGGGAGCGAGAGAGAAGTTTGTATCGTATATTGTATATTGAAGTAAGTAAACGCCTTGGAAGATTGCTTAATTAGCAATGATATATTGCTGATGGACATATAATTCCACTCTATATACTACAGGGAGCAATCGCAGGTATGCGTTTACAGTCTGCACACCGTAGAGCCAAATTGGGGCTATAGATCGCTCTTTGAGAGCTACTCAGTGATATGGTGCTTCGTCTGTTAGCCAGCCACCGCAGTTGTTGCATGTGTTGCCCACATCTCCTAGCCATAGCTATTAGGGAGGACCAAATGTTAGGCGTGAAGCTTGATCCAGTAATTCTCCATCTGGCCCTATAGGCCGAGTGTGTACACTATATATACAATACATATATGACCATTCTATGTCGATCTTTGCCTCATATGGAATTCAGCACTACCTCAACCTCAAATCAACACAGTCAATCATTTTTTATTAGCACCACTACAAATTATTATTACAAAATTAATATATTCTACATAGAAACACTTCCGTGTTATGCTGACATCACAAATAAAATAATATACAGTTTGTTTATTTTTTAGTAAAAATTATGAATAATTTAAAACCTTGATTTTCCTGCAGTTATTACTCATCCATCCACTTGGTATTCGTCATTATTTGTAGCGTATTTCCCTTTTTCCATTCTTCTACAGATGCAAATGTTTCTGTATAGTCCCATTTTTACGAATAACATTTTTACGCTGAAAGAACTCCAAGGTGAACGTGTCATGTACGAGTCTGGTATAGAAATAGAAACTGGCCGAAAAGATAGACTATATTAATTCAATTTGTTTTTGTCAGAATATAACTAACCAGTTTCATTCGACTTATCTCAATAAATTTTCGTTGGCTATTAATTTACCTAAAATCGAGAGTGCATATGTGTGTACATACATATATATGTACATATATTTTGCTATTAAATCAATAATGATATATATAAAAGCTAAGAAAAATTCCAAATAAGATTAGGAATACAACAAAAGCATACAACAAACATGAAGCGGTGTGAATTCGCAAAAGGCGGTGCACGCGTTCAGCGAATTTGGCGAAAGAGCCAAGAAGTTGCGAGGGAAGTTTCAAAATAAGCTATGTTTTAAAAAACTATTGATTTTTTGATCGATATTACGAAATGGCATAAGGATAAAAAATATGAATACTTCGTAATCCATAGTTTTTTTTTTTTATGGCTAGAGATATCTCTGGATGGACAGACAAGATCCCGAATATATGTATATATTCCTTCGGGTCTGCCACGTTTCTGTTTTACTACATTTAATGAGTTTAGACTATAATGATTACTAAAAACTCATCCATAAAACACAGATACCCTATCATATACCACATATATTTTCCGTTTAGTTGCTTATTTTCATTCAAAACTAGTAAATTTATAAGATTTGTTCCACTCAAAGAGATGTCAAACCAGTAAAAATTAATACGCGTGAGTGCAAAAAAAATTAGAAAAATTGAATATGTATAGTTGGTGACGCCTTGCTTTAGCATGTTTGGCAAATCTTTGATGTTTGCTTGTGCGAAAATTCAATTTTAGTTGCATTTTGGAACTGAAGTGTGCTTCAACATGACAGCGGCTAGATTGGTAAGCTATGTTCTAGCAAACGAAACTATATCTTTAGCTGATGTCTAACGTCTTTCAATAGATTCTCTTCTATGCTGTGGTGGCTGTGCTGGCAGCCAGCTGCTCGGCTGGCTTATTGGATCAGCTTATTCCCAGAATAACAGCCAAGTATTACTCCCAAATGCCTACCAAGGATGGTTATCGATTCGAGTGGGTCTCTGTACTTTGGCCTAGGCAATTGGTTCCTAATTTTCTTTTCTTAAAGACAGAAGGAGCCAAATGGCAGCTCACGCGAGGAGGTTGGCATCATAATGAATCCAGGCACACCCGACGAACAGTTGGTTGTGATGGGCACCTACTCCACATACGATGAGAAAACTGATACGGAAAGTATTACCATGTACACGGCCGATAAGGGCGGCTACAATACACGTTACACACTTAAGAAGCGCAAGCTGAGCGCAAATGCTCTCAAGTCTCTCGCAAAAGGCTAAGAGTTGAGTAAGTGAGTTAGAGATCAAATGATCTTTAAGTCTTCAACAATATCTATCTCTTTATATGTACTTTTTTTATATGTGCCATAAACGAAGCCATAACACGAACCAAAGCCATTTATTTCATTTGAATACTTTTGTGTAAAAATAAATTATATTTGAGGTTGAAACATTTATCAAATAAGACACATTTGGAGTCTCAGCCGTGGCCCACATTTTGACACATTTCGTCATGTGAAGCGAATTCTGGTGTGAATACCTTGCAGGCGTGCCTTTGAATAAGTTGGATGCACAAAAGTTTCGATATTTCAAACTCAATTTGTTTATCCATGGCGATCTGTTGACATATATAAGTGCAAAGATGACATTTTCGTATAATTTTGCATTATTTATTGTGTCACCCACGTTGAGAGCATGTCCAAAATCTCGCCGACCCTGGATGCGCTAGAGTCCACAAGACTACAGCTATATAAAACAATAAAGCTCACCTATTGGTTAGGGATTTGCATAGAGATACTTCAGTAGCATAAGCGAGCGACCGGTTTCAGCTAGTAGTAGCTACAGCGAAACAAATAAAAACAGTATAAGATATTAAGTATACGACGCATCACATAGTCGACGACGCCGACGCCTCGCTGAAATATTCTTTGCAGATCTCTGCTGGTCGATCGACGCGCAATTCCATCTCAGTCTCGATTCGGAACTACACCGCGCATCAACATGACAGCTGCGAAATTGGTGAGTATCTGTTGGATACGAAGGCCGTCGGCCAAGGCAAGGGAGGAGCCTAGAGACACTTGCTTCTATTTGAATGGCATTCGCATTCGGCCTGAATGATTGCGATTAAAATGCAAAACGCTTGCAGCTGCAGTACGGCGGGGCAAGTGATTAGCTATAATTGCTCCATCAGCTGCAAGTCAATACGTAGTTCATCTGTTTAATCATATCTCACAGATATTTGTTACTGCCCTGGTGGCTGTATTGGCCAGCAGCTGCTCAGCTGGTTTGCTGGACTATGTGTACCCCTCCATAGTTACGGAATTCTACCAGCAGGCGCCCACTAAGGAGGGCTATCGCTTCGAGTGAGTTCGTCTTTAATCAAATTGTTATCCAATCTATTAAATTGTTAACTATTCTTAGATTGAAGGATCCCAATGGCAGCACACGGGAGGAAATGGGTGTCATTATGAATCCAGGCACACCCGAGGAACAGCTCGTTGTTATGGGTACCTACACGACGTACGATGAGAAGACCGATACGGATACCATTACCATGTACACAGCTGATAAGGATGGTTATAAGACGCGCTATCAGATTAAGAACCGCAAACTGAGCCCTGGAGCTCTCAAGTCAGCAGCTGGTTAGGAATTCGTGCTAACTGCTAAGAACATATATTAAACAGGTGATAAAACAGAGCAAAAATTATATATTATTAAAATTATTACTGTCCATAATTTGGTTTCGTTTTCAAACTGGTTCTTGGCAACACTTGGCAACAAATTGTGGTTGGTCTTCGGTCAAGATCACGCCAGGTTCTTTAATTATGAGGATAGACAAGTTTCTATATATGTTATTACGCAAAGTGAATTGACATTTAAATTTATGGTAGCTTACAAGATTCAATATGAAAATTAACACTTTGGCGTCTGCTGGCAGTTGACAATGAATCTTAAGCAAAGTTTAAGAATCACTAACCAACAGAGCTGTGCATAATTTGCATTTTAATTTACAGGTTTGGGAGCTTTGACTAATTATTAGTCACGTTAATTATGCCCCTTGCCTGATGACAGATTATCTAAGCTCACGAGTCAAACCGTGGCTAATGCAACTTTAAGTATGACGCTTGTCGCTTGCCAAAACAACTGTCATTGCGAGTGCTAAAAGTTAAAGAAGCCTATGTTGTATGTTTAATGTTAAAGTCATGGACAAGCTTTAATGCCTAACGAATATTGAGTCGTTCACAAGCCAAGCCATTGTTGCTGACCTCAACTCAAGGTGCTGTCCATTTGTTCTTTGTAGAACGCAAGAGTAATTACTGATTATTTGACAGTTTCCTTATATGTTGGGTGAATGCCTTAATATAAGCTCATGAATAATGGCTGTGCGTTTAAAATATCCCCGAATAAACTGAATTGTTAAATAATTATGTTGGAGCAACTAGAGTTTTTACTTGATTATCCACGAGCACACAAAAAATAAAGATAAAATAAAAATAATTTAAACATCACCCAAGGGGTAGCTCGATTAAGACAAGTTAAAGCATTCAAAATAGTTTAATTACTTGTTTTGAATACACAACCTGATGCGTAGTGACCTTCAGCTACGCACCAGGCAGGTTGTTATTGCTAGTTCGGGGATTTTTGTAGTAAACCCAAATCCGGAATTCTCGTCTGCGAATTGATAAGTTCGCTGTTAGCACCTGTTAGCTAACCTTCTTGCAGAGTTCCATATCAGGCAGCAATTGAGTGTGTACAGCGAAAGCTTTCTGTAGCAGCTCTGTTAATGATAACAGCAAAGCTTACATTACATTTGCTGCAAGACGTTAACTTGTCATAAATGGAATTCGGTTTGAATTAAAGCTAACACATCAATGGGGCGATAACAATGCCAAAGCTAGCGGCACTTTGTGTTCAACATAGCTGTAACAAAGCGCTAGAAATTAAAAGCTCAGAATTGTTTATTAGCTGCGAGTCGGCTTTGGCGCGCAATTGGCCCGCTTGATTGTTGCCACAGGTAACTGACCAGACACAAAGCGGCCCAAACAGAGAGCCGCGCAACGCAACCTGTGAGTAACCAAACAAACCAACGTCAATATAACAGGCCGCGTGTGTTTCCGATGCACTGTAACAAATATTTATAAATTTTATGCATATTTATATATACAAAATCTTTTTTATAATGAGAATAGTTTTTTAATGATAAAATTTCCTAGGTTATTATTTATTACGTATACTTATAACACACCAAAATTTTAAATATATAAACTATATTTTATAACTTTATTTGAAAATAATATGATAATGACAAATAATTTAGAGAATGATTTGAGTTTTGATAAATTTAATTTTTATTGTTGATTAGATAGAGATAAACATGTTTAATGTGTTTGATCCACTTTTTCGCCAAGTGTACATACTGTACATATTCATGGTACCCACACAACTGAAGCAACAAAACAAACAACCACCAGGGCAGAGCCAGAGTGCGCCCCTAAGTTTGGATTAGAACGTAATGCTCAGTTCCCGGACAACTTTCAGCGATGCGAGAACGCGACGCGAAAACTCAAATTCAAATCGGCTGCAATATAACAGATATTTAAAGCAGATTCCAGCAATATATGTGAAATTAATAAAATAGTTCAAAATATGTTAAGCGTTTAAAAGTGCCTTTAAAAATATATACATATATATAGAATATATATATTAATAGATAAACAAAAAGTGAAATGAAATCAAAACTTACGCGTACTGCGTCAATTTTATTGTTTTTGTCCGTTGTACACGAGTGCAGGGGGCGCGGGGGTGTGGCAGCCGCTGGACAGTCGCTGATACAATTGAGTCACGGTAAGTTGAGCAACAAGCCAGGTGAAATTATACGCATTGTTCCCAGATGCCCGAGAGTGATTTACGGGTGTAAATATTTTTATTTATATATATAGTTTATTTTTTGGGGGGGCTGGTGGGGGGTATTTGGTCACGGCTCGAGTTGACCCTTCAACTGTGGCATCACTGGTAATTTGACCTTTGACTTCATGCGTCAGTGCCCGGAAAAATTTGCCCAGCCGAAATCTGGTAAATTTTGACGAAATGTAGGACAATCAATATAATTCATGAGTAATTGCATAAAACACAAAGCCAACAATTGCTGCCAAATCCCAAACAGTTGCACACACAGACATAAAAAACAAGAGCCAACGAAAATAATGGAACAGGTGCACAAATATGCGTAAGAGTTAATTGCGCCGCCAACACGCACACAAATTGGTCAACGGTGCCACAAATATTTTTGGTGGCCTGCCACCGAGCCGAGTGCTAATCGATAAATTTATTACCGTTGTCTAACTGGGCATTGTTGTGGTTAGTGCTCAGTCATCATCATTGAGGCCAGGCCATCATAATTAAGTCTGAACTACTTTAAACATACCCTCGAGGGGGGGAGGGGTGAAGAAGTAGTGCCTAGGAGCAGTGCACTTAGCATAATTTTTCGGCAGCTGTTGCTGCTGCATTCCCCGACAATTGATCAAACAAACTTGCCAATGCGCTATTAAAATAAGATACATAAACATAATGGCAGCCAGTGAATCCGCCATCAACGAGCCCCGTTGCAAGTGGCGCACGTTGGGTAGGTAACCGAATTTCATGATTTGTCGATAAATTGAACGACAAACTTGAGCTCATTGTGAGTGCTGAGCAAATGCCCAGATACTCTAATACTTTCTTGAAGAAACTGTATTATATTCTGGTACTCGTATAATTCTTAAATTTTATAAACTGACTTCAATTGAATCGAATCTTAATCGATCGTATGTTAATCATATCACTTTATATGCCTTATTAATCCTATGCATATTATTCTTTCTATCTATTAAATAAATCAATATGTCAGCAGTCAATTGAATGGAGTAATTGGCTTACTCATGTTAGACCTAGATCACCCCTCAATTATGTGACAAATTATGAATTTATATCCCTTTAATTTATAAGTAAATGTAGATGAGACAGGTTAAATGAATATAGGCTTTCATTTATAGTAAAAATTATGCAGACGAAACAAATTTCCCGATGAATTAGATATAATATATATCTCTGATACACTATACATCCATTCATGGCATAAGTTCCCTTGTCTGCGACTACAACAAATAGTTTGCCAAGTTTTTTGCACCCCAGCTAATTGCTATAGTAACTAAGAGTTCAAGAAACTGTTTAATAACAACTTCAAGAAGTGAAATAAAAGTGGGAAATGGGAAATGGGAAAAGGACAGAACACAATTTAAAAGTTGGCGCA